TGGCGGAGATCACCAATGCCTGCTTTGAGCCGGCCAACCAGATGGTGAAGTGCGACCCGCGGCACGGCAAGTACATGGCGTGCTGCCTGCTGTACCGCGGGGACGTGGTGCCCAAGGATGTCAACGCGGCCATCGCCACCATCAAGACCAAGCGCAGCATCCAGTTTGTGGACTGGTGCCCCACTGGTTTCAAGGTGGGCATCAACTACCAGCCACCCACGGTGGTGCCCGGGGGCGACCTGGCCAAGGTGGAGCGCGCCGTGCTGAGCAACACCACGGCCATTGCCGAGGCCTGGGCCCGCCTGGACCACAAGTTTGACCTGATGTACGCTAAGCGGGCGTTTGTGCACTGGTACGTGGGGGAGGGCATGGAGGAGGGGGAGTTCTCGGAGGCCCGGGAGGACATGGCTGCCCTGGAGAAGGATTACGAGGAGGTGGGGGCTGACAGCGTGGAGGGCGAGGAAGAAGAATACTAGTCACTTGTCACTTCTGCCAGTTACACTGTGGTGCTGTTCACTAAAATTGCTCTTTCCACTCTTGCCTTGTTTATTGTCCCAGCATGGTCTGCCTTGTGGTGACCTGGGGGGATGTCCTGAGGAGATGGGGGGGTCCTGGCTGAACTGAGCTGGCACATGGGCTGTGCTGGGGGTGCTTTGTGGGATTGGGGTCCCTTGGCTGGGTCCTGTGCTGTGAGCTGGCTATGCCCTGCTGAGCTGCCTGCACTGTGGGGGTTCATGTCCCTTCCCCCCCATTATCCTCAGGGGTCCCTGTAACATGAGTTGGTCCCCAGGTGGGGTGAGGACCCCTGGAAACAGCCCCCAGGGAGGCTGGGAGCCTCCAGTGCCCTGCCCCAGCAAACACCTTCCGGCCCCAGTCCCGGGTGTGTGGGCAGGATGCGACCCTGGGCACAGCTGGTGCAGATGGGAGGTACCTGGTGTGCTGCTCCTGGCGTGGAGCCGGTCTCTGTGCGGTGCTCTGCAGAGCTGGGGGGTTCCTGGGAGGGA